GCAGAGGGGGGTGGAGGATGGAAGCCAGTGGAGGGATCAGCAGAGGGGGGTGCAGGATGGAAGCCAGTGGAGGGATTGGCAGAGAGGTGCGTGGAATGGAAGCCAGTGGAGAGATTGGCAGAGAGGGGTGGAGGATGGAAGCCAATGGAGGGATTGGCAGAGAGGGGTTGCAGACACTGAGCAGTTGCTAAGTTGAATGAGTCTAGCAGCCGCATTCATGATAGACTGAAGTGGGGGAGGAGCCTGTATAGAGGTCAGGGCCAATGAGGAAGAAGTTGCAATAGTCCAGGTGAGAGATAACAAGGGAGTGAATCATATGTTGGTGGAGTCATTAGGTAAGACGGCGCATATTTTGGAAATGTTGGAGGTGAAGGCGGAAAGACGTTTCAATTGCTGGAAGTAATCCAGATGCCGGTGGCAGCTCCTCCACTTCTTCCAGTTCTCTGTGATCAGTTTTCTGTAACTCCGCCCCATTGGAGGCCTCAAACACAATATTCTGTATGTACAATTCCCTATGACATGAAATGTGTGTTACTCTGTCAGCCAGAAATCAGGATTTGTCGTCTTGGAGTAATATTGGGATTTTTGCTCTTTCCAGCCGTACGCCGTTCAGAAGCTCGGAGCCGCCGCTGGCGTGATGATCACCGCGTCTCACAACCGCAAGGAAGACAACGGGTACAAGGTAGGAATCCAAGCTACAGAAACAGTCACAGTTCATCTAAGGCTCTGCTCCTCCTGTCTGGTAGTCTCATTGGGATTTGGTGATGTCAATACTGTGCTGCTGGAAGTTGTAAACAAGCATTATAAATACAATTTGGCATATTAAATGTCCTTCTCCTGCACCATTGGTGACCGAGCGGGAGGGGTTGTGAGGGACAGAGCGGGGATTTTACATGTTCCTAAACTCTTGCAGATAGAGCAATGTGTAGTCAATCTAAGGGGTTATGGTCAGCACTAGATATGGCTATTTAATGATAGGGCAGTCGACTGTACCAATAGCTACAGCGGCAGTAAGAGTGCCAACGCTGCAGTGATTTCACTGCCTAAAGGGAAAGCGTTGTCACTGTCTCAAAAGATGAGCCTGTCCAATTCTATTGGCATGATCAACAGGTTTTTATAAAGTGTTCCACGCAAAAAAAAGTCAGGTGGTCTTACTAGTTTGGGCAGGGATGCACTGATACTGGTTTTTGGGTTTCCAGTACAAGTTTTGCTGTCAGTACTCGCCGATACCGGTGCTTCCGCTGGCATGGAGCCAGCTTCCTGCGCAATCAGGAAGCCGGGCAGTGGGTAATGACACACCGCCCGGCTTCCTGATCTCCCAGGAAGCTGGCTCCATGTTTGGCCGGCTCAATGTTGATTGGCTGAGAAGATGGCTTCCCAGCCAATCGGCATGTAGCCGGCTTCCCGGTAAATCAGGAAGCCGGGGGGCTTGTCATTACCTGCTGCCTGGCTTCCTGATTGCCCAGGAAGCCATCTCCATGCCAGTAGAAGCACTGGTATCAGTACTCGGTATCAGCGAGTACTGACAGCAAAATATCGGCAATCAGGAAGCTAGGCGGTGAGTAATGACCCGGCTTCCTGATTGGCCAGGACGGTGGCTCAGGGCTGATTAGTCGGAAAGCCGGCTTCGCAGCCAATCAGGAAGCTGGGAGGTGGGTCATTACTCGCCGCCTGGCTTCCTGATTGCTTGGGAAGCCAGGTCTATGTTCCCCTACGGCACTGCAGGTCAGAGGAAAAATTCCGGTATCGGGGGTAAGTATCGGAACATTTGTGCGAGTACTCGCCCAAATACTCAGTATCGGCAGCGGTACTAGTATCAGTATCTGTGCATCCCTACTACATAGCATATAGAACACTAGAGGAGGATAGAGGAGAACCTTCACAGACACTAGTTGACATCACATATTTGGGACTCTATCTGCCAGACGTGCCGAGATTCTTTCGTTGACAAAGGTCCAATGAATTGTACGCTTTACTTTCTCGAAGGGAATCAATGGAGACATCCACAACTTTGCCACCGTCTGTTCGGCAGCAGTGAGACCATGCAATAGGAATTGATGTTTGCGGGAGAGCCCAGCACGAGGGAGGTTAAGCAAAACCACCTTCGGGTCTAGTGACAGCGTTGTATCTAGTAAACTGGAAAGAAAATCAAAAACTTGAGTCCAAAATCTTTGAGCCTTGGGACATTGCCACCATACGTACATATAGGAGCCCACTTCTCCACAATCTCAGAACCACAAACCGGCATGACCCGGAAAAAAAGCCCGATGTCGGCTGGGCACCAAATACCACCTGTAAAGTAGCTGGTAATGGGGGGTACATTTACTAGTTTAACATTTGATTGGTTCCCACCAAACTGAACATATGGAACAATCTTCTTTCTCCCTCTGCAGGTGTATTGGGAGAACGGGGCTCAGATCACCTCTCCTCATGATAAGGAGATCCTGCAATGTGTGGAAGAAGATCCAAAACCCTGGGCTGATGCCTGGTGTGAGAGCCTGGCCGACACCAGCCCACTAAGCAAAGATCCCCTGGAGGAGATCACAAAGGGTTACATGGAAGACCTGCAGGCCGTCTGTTTCCACAGGTAATTCAGAGTGTAATGAGCACGGGTGGAGGGGACGCTGCAAGGGTAACCCTGGAGTTTAGCTTTATTCGGTGACGCTATTTTCTTAGGGCAGGTTCACACCATTTTCCAGACCTGGTCCGGAAAATGGTGTGAACCTGCCGCAGTTCCAGGGCATTCCGGACCAGACAAAATGAGACGTGCAGTATGTTTCTGGTCTGGAACGGACTGCGCCGGTGTGGACAGAGGCCAGACATAGTATCGGGATACATTAGGAGTCCGGAAACAATCTGGTCTGGTCTGGAGATGATCTGGAGGTGGTGTGAATGGGGCCTTAGGCCTTGAGGTTTTTCTGCAGGTATGTTTTTGACTTGAGTTCCTCCCAGGCCGGCTCCCCTAATCAGGATGAGAAGCGGGATGCGGTAGCTATTTATGTGCCTTTTGAAGAATCCCCACTCAGTCCAGGCTCCTGCATAAGCCATTAAGGGCATTGGTGCAGTGGTTGAGGCACGCTGGGGCATGTCATGGCCTGTCTATGCAACTCTTCAGTAGACAAAAGGTCAAAACAGATCGTCGCCTGAGCTGAGCTACTGCGGGTCACTGCTGAGACAGAAGTAGACAAAGGTCTCGTTCACACCTTGGCGTATTGCATATGCGCGTCTGTACCGCGATTCGCGGTAAAAAGTCGTGCGACAAACGCGTGTTTCCAAAGGCTACTTGGCTGTATCCCAATGGAAACGCGCAACAAAATGGCCCAAAGTAGTACATGTACCTTTTCAGGCGTGGGCCGTTTTGTAGCGCGTTAGGGACGGGTGGAAATACGCCAAGGTGGGAACGAGACCATTGAATACAATGGGATTTATATTTTTGAGCGTTTTGTAGAGTGTTCGTCGAGCGTAGAACACGCTACAAAACGTTCAGGTGTGAACGAGGGCTAAAGGGTCAAAGAATGCATCTTTTCATTGTTAAATTCACAGCATGGATAGGGGACCCCCCCAACCCCCTTTCTCTGTTGGGCTATTGAATTCCGACAGCGGCGGGCGTACACCAGAGATCACATCGCAGTGCAACACACAAAGCTGCTGTGTGGAGATCTGAAAGGGCGCATCACTCCGATCCCATTGGAGCTCACACAGACACTAGCCTGCACGCTATAAGAAGTGTCTTTGTGTGAACGAGGCCTTGGACTTGGCTCATATGATCTCCGAGGACATGGTTTTGGAAACCGTAGCCTACTTTATATTTCCACCTGGGTATACAAAGTATAAGGCTGCAAGTAACACTATCTGCACATAATGAGTAGAGACTGCTAGCTAGGGTGCAGTTCCTTCCCAATTACAAATCCCAGGGCTTCCAGTATCTCCATTGTTCTGTTTAGATCCCCAGGGCATTAACCCTGTGACAACCAGCACAGAAGTCTGCTCTCAGAAGCTTTAGGGACCGTTTATACTACGGCCATTCTTCACGGTGTGTTTAATGTGCCTTGCATTAAGCAGCCTATTTATTATGAATGGGCTGCAAATGCATCTTATTGCACCATAACTGCACACGTGAAATTTTTTTGAGAATGCAGCGCACCACAACACACAACATATGAGCTTTGATGCGCTGCCGTGCACTCGTGTTGCCCACTTTAACATAGTATGTTGACGTGCCATTCACCAAGAATAACCCGCATTGAACTGCATGCTTTAGTGAATCGCATAAGTCTGAATTGGCCCCTTAAGATGAATTCACACCTTTCTAGGCTTGTTTTCATGTGCTACCAATGTCCCTAATAGGTCTTATTGCGTTGGAGCACCAGACGAGAGACGGCGCATGTCAATGCCATCGCACAGATGTGAACTAGCACCACTAAAAATAATGGTCATCGTGCAGCACTGACATGTGATAAAGCGGAACAGGGCACAAAATATTTAATTTAAATATATTCTTTAATAGCCAAAGGATATAAATCCACTCTGTGTGCACCAAATGCCTTTGCAAAACCCTGTGCAGAGAGCAGAGCTGTGACGGGCCCAGCAGGCCACACCTAAATACAGACTGCCTGCTGAAAACTATAGCAGGGGGTGCAGACTCAAACAGTCACCCTGCACAAGGAGAGAGAGCAACAATGACCGGTCTTTATTACAGGAGGGGGCGGAGACCAGACTAGTCACCCTGCACAAGGAGAGAAAGCAGCAGTGACCGGTCTTTATTACAGGAGGGGGCGGAGACAAGACCAGTCACTCTGTACAAGGAGAGAGAGAAGCAGTGACCGGTCTTTATTACAGGAGGGGGCGGGGACAAGACCAGTCACCCTGCACAAGTATATAAATCAGCAGTGAGCGGTCTTTTTTTTTTAAAGGAGGGGGCAGAGTCGAGACCAGTCACCCTGCACAAGGAGGGAGAGCAGCAGTGAGCGATCTTTATTACAGGAGGGGGCGGAGACAAGACCAGTCACTCTGTACAAGGAGAGAGAGCAGCAGTGACCGGTCTTTATTACAGGAGGGGGAGGAGACAAGACCAGTCACCCTGCACAAGTATATAAATCAGCAGTGACCGGTCTTTATTACAGGAGGCTCCAAGTCTCACAGTGGATTACAGTACAGATCTGGAAGAAGGAAAGTGTTGTTACCCTAAAAATAGGAAGTATGTGAACAAGGACAGTCTTAGCAGGATCACCAGGGATTGTTTCAGTGAAAGCAGCAAAGCTTGTATGCGATTTTAATGACCGGTATTGCATATCATTTAGCACCTTGGTTCTCAACAGGTGGGTCGTGACCCAAAAGTGGGTCGCGACCTCGTGTTCAGTGGGTCACTGCATGCCTTCTACTGCACTAGGTGAGAGGCTCCTCTGCCTCCCCTAGCGCAGCACTGCCAGTTCTCTTCCCAAGCAGCCATTCAGAATATGCTGCCCAGTGCCGAGTGTCAGCTTGAGGTGGGGTGGGATGGGGCTATGGCCGCAAAGGGAGCTCCATCCATCCATACATTGCTTACAGCTCCCTCGTGTCCTGTAGAGGTGCCTGGACTGGACTGACGCCACATTCTGGCTCCCTTCCTCAAGGCAGAAAACATGGTTATGTTTTCTGCCTTGAGGAAGGGACCCTGCGCGGCCCCGAAACGTCGGTTTCTGTCCATTAAAGGGACATATTTTGCTTTCATTATTGAGTGCTGGTGATTCCCTGCTTGTTCTATGTCTGCACGGCGCCATCCGTGAACCACTATCACTGCGAGCACCATCTTTTCTTATCTGGCTGGGAGTGCTGTGAGGTGTGCGGAGGGCTCCCCCAACGACCTGCATTCTGGCTCCCGACACCCCTGCAGAGCTGTACAAGCAATGCACTTATGGATGGAGCTCCGTCACAGCACAGCAGCCCACATTGGACCCCAGGCTAAGGATCCGCTCCAGTTCTTGTAAGGTAGGGAGACTGGGTGGACATTAAAAAAGAGAAAAGGAAACATTTTTTTTGAGTGTGTAGACTAGTACAGTCCCACGCGATTAACGCACTGTACCATGGAATCACACCTACTACGCATTCTAGTGTGCGAGGTGCGTTGTGTTGCCATTGATTTGAATGGTACTGCAAACGCACCTTCCACCCTCATTTCGATCGCCCGCACCGGAACCCGCGGTACCGCAATGCCGTGCGTTCCAGTGCAGTGAGACCTAGGTCGCGACTTAATGACCAAGGACAAATGTGGGTCCTGAGGTTACACAGGCCGAGAACCAGTGATTTAGCAGACATTTAATAACCATAGGACACGTCTCTATCAGACTCTGAGGCACGGTCTGTGGGCTCTCTGCTCTCACAAGGTATATGGCTGGTGTGACATGCAGAGGCGGTGTTTGGCAGTGAAGGGGTTAGACAATGTTTTCCCCGGGAGAGGATTATTCATAGACAATCTCATTAATGCGCCAGACATGGCAGCCTATGGGGACTGACTTTCCATTGGAGGAGGTGGATGGAAGCCTTCTCTCCGGAGGATCCGTGACGTCCTATTATTGTGTAATATCTTTTATTTCTTCCATTCTGCAGCTAACGCTAAAGTTGGCCATACACGGCTTGAATTTTGCTGGCTTGACTGGAGTTCGAGCTGTATTTGGGACTGCCGGCACCACTCCACTCAACAAATATGATGGACTTCTGTTGCAGGAGCTGGGCCGGCAATTGTTGCACGAACAGTGACCACAGCCAATCAGCTGCACACCCACCACCATCAAAATACAATAGCTCAGCAAGGGAGATCCCCCCCCCCCCCCGCCTTTCGTCTT